GACTTCAGAGGTTATTCCTGATAATACAGAATTAACATCACTGTTTTTACAATTACAGGAAACAATCAGAAACAGAAGTAATCCTATATACATTACACATAACAGATCCCATACAGGTCTGCCAGGCCCACTAGCACAAGGCAATGATGAGATTGATCGTTTATTAATTGGAAGTGTGCTAGAAGCCTCAGAATTTCATAAGAAACATCATGTAAATAGCAAAGGTTTGAAAAAGGACTTCTCCATCTCTTGGCAATAAGCCAAGGAGATAGTGAGAAACTGTCATACTTGTTCCAACTCCATTGCCAGCAGGTTGTAATCCTAAGGGCATTTGGAGAAATGAGGTTTGGCAGATGGATGTCTTTCACTTTTCAGAATTTGGAAATTTGAAATAAGTGCATTATATTATAGACACATTCTCAGGGTTTCAATGGGCTACTGCTCTTATCTCTGAAAAAGCTGATTCTTTTATTAAACACCTGGTAGAGGTGATGGCACTTATGGTTATAACTGCACAAATAAACACTGACAATGCTCCAGCATACGTCTCCCCAAAATTGGAACAGTTTTTCAAATATTATAACATAAATCATATCACCAGTATACCACACAATCCTACTAGACAATCAGTGGTTGAGAGATCTAATAGGACACTAAAGGAGATGCTGAATAGACAGGTTTGGAAGTGTAAACCCCCCAAACATAGGTTGCATAATGCTTTATTAACAGTAAACTTTCTTAATGCCAATGAGAAAGGACAAACAGCTGCTGAAAGACACTGGACTATGGAAAAAACTGCTGAACTGAATCTGCCGGTATATTTCAAGGATGTACTGACCTCTGCATGGAAACCAGGACATGTGTTATGATGGGGTAGGGGTTTTGCATTGGTTTCCACAGGAGAAGAAAAACTTTGGATACCATCAAAGTTGATCAAGATTCGAGTTGAAAAGGAAAATCCACTCGACAAGGAGAAATGAGAGGTATTCCACTAAGGTATATCTCATAAAGTAAATATAAACCTCCCAAAGGAAAGGGAAGTGTTTTGCTTTTATCTTCACAGGAAAACTCATCTCCAGAAGTCAAAGGACACTGCATGGGTAGATACATAACAATTGAAGGTAACTATAACCATCAAACAAATAAATGTGACATATGGTAAACTTTACAGCTGTCTCTCAGAGAACTCCATTTCTGTTTATTTCCTAGTCCCTATTCAATTAAACCAACGCTGGATTTAGAGGTGGATTTGGCTTTCCTCCTCTGAAATCCAAGCACGTTGTTTAACTAAACTTTAGAGTTTCTGTATTGTATCAAGAAGTCAATTGATGTAATAGAGAATAAGAGAAATATTTGGGGACTGTTTTTGTCTTTTCTTGGCTCTTTCTTTCAAAATGTATACCCTCTCATAATCGTTATTCCTCCATGGTTGCCTTTCCCAGCACACATACATACACAAGCAATGATTTCTCTGCTGTTTATGTTTGAGTCCCACACAGCCAAAGAAGACCTGCCTGACAGCAATGCCTGGACACCCTGGAAAGAAAATGGGCCACACCTCCTCGACTGCACTGGATCCAACTTGTTCCATTTCAAAGGACACTCCGGCCAGAGCTTTGGATACTGACTTCAATCAAGTTGATGATTTCATCTGAGATCTTCAATCAAGTGAATCCCATCTAACATGGACTGGATACAATCCATTCAAGACTTTTACCATACTAACATTTTCTTCCTACAGGACCCCCCCAAGGATGTCGTCATCCCATTTCAGCAGGAAGTAACTTGGAGAATGCTACATCCCCTTTCCCCCATTGTTGTCACTTAGGATAGTATATATACCTACTTAGGGATAGCTTGCTATTATTTATGGTTAGGATTGGAAGGAGGTGTTCAGGCATAGACACCTCTTTCAGATGACTTTAGGGTTTAGTTAAAATAGATAGTTAGGATGTGACATAAGCAGATTGTTGTATCTTCTTATATTTCACCTTTATGATTGCTAATTTTATATACTTTACACTGTTAAGTTTTAATTCTCTTTTCGACTAAAAGGGGAATAATAAGGGATGCTATATTCATGCCTGCTTAGGGGCTGGCTACAGGTGTGCCTGATAATGCCTGTGAGGGCATGGTCAGAGTGATGTAATGTGAGAGGCATTCAGCTGGCTGGTTTCGGTTTCGTTTCACTTTCGGCTTGTTGTTCAGACTGCTGCAATGCTGGCTGGCTAGGTTGCTTTGTAAGTAAGGCTTTTTCCCCATTAAAATCCCTTGTAATTTTATCTTGCTCTGTATTGGTATTTTTCCCACATTAGTACTTGATCAGACTCTATGTACATTCTCAGATTTTTGGGTCTTAATTGGTAAACTGGCCATAACTGCCATCCATTTCAACTTCTATGATATCTGTGAGATTTAATGTATTATGCACACTATGCATGGAACTGTGCTTGTGTATTTATGCAGACCCTCAGAAGACAAGATATAGGTACTGGGATGCTTATCAATAATTATAATTTTAAGACTAAGAATCAGTAACCTTTATGCCTATTATCAAATTTCTATGATCACATTTTAATATAATTAATCTTAAAACATTATGAGCCATTAATAATTTAACCATAAGAAGTGAGAGATGAATATTTAAAGAAATATTTAACAAAGCCGGATACTGGTGGCACACACTTGAGAGGCAGAGGCAGGAGGATCTCTGTGAGTTTGAGACCAGCCTGGTCTACAAGATCTAGTTCCAGGACAAACTCCAAAGTCACAGAGAAACCTTGTCTTGAAAAACAAAACAAAAGAAAACAAAAAACAAAAAACAAAAAAAAGAAATATTTAACCAAATAGACAAAGTTAATTTTTAAGTGTAAAATCAAATGAATATATAAATAACATATACATGTTTCAAATCTTATGTCCACCCATCTTTCTTTCTTTTCTTTCTTTCTTTCTTTTTTTTTTTGTTTTTTGGTTTTTCGAGACAGGGTTTACCTGTGTAGCTTTGTAGCCTATCCTGGCACTCACTCTGGAGACCAGGCTGGTCTCGAACTCACAGAGAACCACCTCCCTCTGCCTCCTGAGTGCTGAGATTAACGGTGTGCACACCAACTCCTGGCCCATCTTTCTATAAATCCATCATCTATATACATATAATTAACCATCTCTTTAATTTTGAGTAAAACTCCCAGAAACATCTGAATTTTGTCTCTGCTTTTGTAAAGTAGACATAATATAAAGAAATTGTTTTTTTATTTAATCAGTGTAAGAGCATTTGAAATGGTTTTTCACATATTAAATAAGAAATAAATATTGGACATCAATTTCTTGTGTGGCATTTTTCAATGTAATTAGTTATCAGAAAGGGTACATTTTATTTAAGCACTAGGTGAAATGTTTTTAAACAGTTATATTTATGCTTCATTCATTTGAACAAATCTCTTATAACTCTACTATAACATGGATCCTGTGGCTGATTGTTCCTATCTAAAATATTACCATAGTATAATAATAGGAATAAAAAAAAATCCCAACATGCAATTACAGGTGTTTTGAAGGTAAGTGTCCCAATGTAAATATAGACATTACAAAAAAAAAATCTCCAAAGTGAATCATTAACATCAAAGAGTTTTAAGGCTTGTATTCTTTTTATATCTATTTTGATAACCAACATTTTGAATGGGTTTTATAATTTTCTGTGTAAAGACTTTTAAGAGGCTAAAAGCATTTAGTTATTGATTTGTTTTTATCTTGTGTTGAAATGAAGCAGAAATTAACATGACTAACTCTGTCCTACACTGGCTGCATCTTTTGTTTGACTTGTTAATGTCAGCCTTTTTCTTTTAATATTGGCTGTATTGATTGGTGCTCAAAACACTTACCTAGAGAGATTGTTAATTATATGTTATTACACAGGGATCTCAGGAGCATGGAATACTAAGTTTTGTAATACATGAAAACAAAGAGCCCTTGGCACTCATGGTCAGCAAAACCATGACTCTAATTTAACAAGATAAAAACTGGATAATAAAATGTGTAACAGTTGGGATTGTGAATTCAGCTCAGTGGTATAGTGCTTGCCTAGCAAGTGCAAGGCCCTGGGTTCAGTCCTCAGTTTTGAAAAAAAAAAAAGACAAAATAAAATGTGTAATAGTGAAGCTCTAAGAAAACCATCAAAGACTGTATTAAACCACTAAAATACTTGGAAAGTTGTTATAATTAGTGTTTTTCCTAATTACTATAAAACTATGTGCTTTAATTTCTGATGATAATGGTAATGGAAAGTTTGCAAGAAAACTCTAAAGTTATGATGATTTGAGAATTGTTTACCACAGAATATTCTAGTTGAAATAACATCCAAATAATATTACTTGTATCCTGGCGTATTTAGACATTTTACCTCATACCCTGTACTAGCAAATTAGGTTAAGGCTACTGTTAAATATATAGTAACTTATGCCAACAATAGAGTCTCTCTGTTTTAAGTTTTTTTTATATCAGTGAGACAGAAAAAATGTATTGTTTTATGTACTTTCAAATGCAAGTCATGAATTTAAAACTTAAAAATAAGAGCACAGACCCCATCCAGTTTGTGTATTTACAATCTGTTTTGGTTAAATCATGCATATATATTTTTTCCCAATATTTTAAAAAGTTAATGTTGATTGCGCTCCATGCACATCCAGAACTTACTTTTAGAGAACATGCATGAATCACATAGGCACAATATGCCTCAAATATTGGCTGTTTGATTTGATAAAACTACAACAGAGAGTGAACTATAAATAACAGCCATTACACTACATTTAAAGGAAATGTTTAGTGACAGTCCATATGATTTGATTCTAAAATATTGGAGGAGCAAAGAGGACAGCTTCATGAAATGTCCAGTTACCTAATGAATGTATGAAAGAGATAATTTATTGTGAATGCAATGAATGTTATAATACTAGAGGTTCAAGGTTCTAAGGAAAAGGAGAAGAGGTTGTATTTTCTAGTTTATGGAGGAGGATTTAGGAAAGTATCTTTGAGTTACAAGACTCTCTCAGCTCTTGAGACTGCAGACAGTGGGATCCATTTCTTTTTAGTGTTCTGATATAAGTATATCTATATAAAAATCCAATTAGTTTCTATTTCTTCTAAACCCAACATGCTAACATGCCTCCAAATGTTAGAGCTGTGTCTGACACTAGTTATTGTTGTAGATCACATTGCAATCCCAAGTTTTACTTCCTACAGGGCTGTGTAAGTTTACAACTCATACTGACTTCTCAAAGCAAACAAAGCATGTAAAATATTAATATCTACATATTTATTTATTGTATATGGATTGTATTTAGTGAACAATTTTGTGTAGTTGCTGTCAGTAACAAAACAGAGCCAAATACAGTTTACATAAATCATTAAAACTTGCTAACTTACAACCTAGTGATTTTTGTCATTCCACTGCTCACTAACAGAATCGCCACTGCTATTTCCATGTGATTTGGATCCACAATATTGGAGGGGCATCTAGGCAACATTTTTATGACCATCCTTACCATGGACAATTGGACAGAAATTTTCTTTTTGTCTGTAGCCCTTTATAACTATTTTTATGTATGTATTTATTTATTTTGTAGGGGTTTACGTACACGCCGTGGAGCATACGTGAATGTCAGAAGACAACTTACAAAACTCAGTTCTATCTTCCCATACACTTGTTTCTGAGAAACCAGCTCAATTCCTTGGGCTTAGTGATAAGTGCCTTTACTTGGTGAGTTATGTTCCTGAGCCTGTGTCTGGGTCTTCAGAGTATGGGATCATGCCTACTGATAAGCTTAGACACTGACCTCAGCAACTACTTATCAGGAATTCACAGAGGTAGATGAAGTCAGGAAGAAAGAGCAGATGAGCCCTTTCAAAAGTCTGAGCTGCATGGCTGGAAATGTATAATACTGTGAAACTTTTGAAGACCATCTAATTGAATCATGTCTTGTGTATTATTGTGTGCCTTATTTTTTTGTGTAATGTACACCATGTGAATTCAGTGCCTTCCCTGACCATAAATGGCTATTAAACCCTTAGAAATGCAGTTACATGTGTCATCTGCCCCATGAGGGTGCTGAGAACAAAACCGAAGCCCACTGAAACAGCAGCACAAACTCTTAATCACTGAAGAGTCTCCCACCCACATTTTTGCTTTTAAGTAGCATATATGCTGAATATCATTTGAAAGCATTTTTACACCACTTGCTTACTGATTCCTTTACTCCCAATTTCACACATCAAATACTGGTATTTAAATTTTGAAAATTAAGTATAAATGCTTCAGAAAATTCAGGATTACTTTAGGATCGTAATGAAATAGGTCAATAAGAAAATGTCTAGCCTAGAGGATTGCCTTCCTTTATTGATAAAACACAAAAGTCTTGGTTGACAGGCAATATGTTATTGGTAAGTCTTTTGAATCACTCTGTGAATTTCCCTAGCACACTGATGTCATACTCATATGATTTCACAATTTTAAAATCTCTCATAAATTTCTGCAGCCACTCCACCGAAATGACATGTATAAGTCTCAAGGCATACTCTGAGGTTTACAAATATTTTTGTTTCCATATGTTTTGGTTCCAAGTTTCTGGCACTACAGATTTGCATAATAAAAATTTCTAATCCATTCAGTGTATAAAAGATGTTATATATTTATATGCTTACATTATTGACAACCATAGCTTAAACATTGCTGTTAGATTGGACACATAACTCATTTTTATCCTCTAATGTTCTCTTTTCTCCATCTCTCAGTATCTTTTTATTGTTGTTGTATTTCATGCTGTGTAGTTATACACCCTCCCAATAATCTCACCCTTGTATGTTTTTATTTTTATTTTTTGGAATCTGTATGGCCTTTTAGTAAGTTCTCTAGGCTAGAACGGAACTTTGCTTTTTGCCCTCGTCAAGTATACAACTTATATTCCTTCTACTCCACCTCTGTAGAAGCTGGGGTAAGAAGCCTCTATCTTTAATATATTTGTTTGTATGGAAGTTTACTAGAGCCAAACATTTCAACTACCATCAGAGAATATGCTAGTAGCAATGTTCCTTTATTAATTTGATTTAAAGGCAATACATAAATTATTTCACTTTTACAATAGAAGAACATCACTAGGATTCATTGGATGTAATAGGGGTAATACGAGTCTTTTCCTTGACTTGTTCCTTTGGAATTATGGTGACTTCCTTTCATTAAGTCTTTGGCACCAAGCTGCATAAGCTATTTGTAAATTAATGACTCTTCAAAGTAGATCCCACTCTACAGAAATAATGGGAACTGTGATAAAAGTATGTCTATAATCCCATCTGTGTCTAGGAATATTTGCCTCCTAGAGGGTACAGCTCCAAAGACACCATCAGTAGGAATGTTTGTTTAAAAAAATGTTCCTTAGTAGTCTCCAAAATCTCCATATTATTATTTTAAACTTTTTATATTAATGAACTCTTTTTTCCTTTAAACTTAACATTACCATAAACTAAGATGTATACATATTTATATGAAAGAATAGTAGAGGAATTTAGGCCCCAAAATGACAGTGCTGCTGATAATGAGCTACTTGATAGCCTAGGCCAAAACCAGATAGAAGTCTGACTGGGAAACAGAGTATTGTTATGGGTTAAACAAAACCTTAACTCAGCATTCCACAGGAATCACACGGGGCCAGATTCTGTTTATCATGGAAGCCATTACTTACCTTATCCACCCCCAATGGTCAACTAGGCAAAGGGCACCTGGTTCCTGATAATCAGGAACCCTAACTGCCTGCAATAGATCAAAGTCTCCCTGCTAACTCTCAGGCTGCTGTGGTTCCCTTGTCCTCTACCATTACTACCTTACCAATAAAACAGGCAAGGCTTTTTTACCACAAAGTACTGGTCTCTATTCTCTGAATTAGCTCAAGTAGTCATCCCTTGCCCCAAAAGCCAAGAAACTGTGCTTCCATAGGCAGAAAGCTTTACTTTGGAGGTTTCAATCCACCCCACTTATAGAGGTATGCATATTGCAATTACTCTTTAAATTGGAAAAGCATATCTACTCAGATAACATACTTTAACTCAAACTTTACACAGTATAGTTTGTATAATATAGACTGAAAACTACCTAATCACTAGGGATTCTGATTGACATGCATGCTTAACCCATTTTTATCATGACTATATTACTTAAACTTCTGAAGCCATTTAGACAAATATCTTTATCAAATATCAAGATGTTGACAAATATTTATACTGTGGCAAGTAATGTGAGTCCATTAATTGGAATTAGTTTCAGAGTGTTTACCTGTGTGTGAGCCTCCTGTGACTGATGCAGAGTGCGGTCTGGGCATCACGAGTAATGCAGACTTTGTGGTGGCTGCATTTGGTTTTTAAGCATGGGTCCTTAGCTGGATCTAAAACTAGAGAGAAGATAGAAAGATAGAGGAAGAGACAGAGATAGAGATACAAAGACAGAGAGAAAAAGGAGAAAAATAGAATTTAAATGTTTCTGCATATGGAGGTACTATGCACTATATCTCATCAGACATAATTAATTAGATTTTGGAATTTTTATTTCATTTTATTGTATTCCTTTTTTCAATGTTGACAATTTTATACATGTAAATAATGTTTTGTGATCAATTCACACCTTCACTGTCTCTTGTCTACTCTGGTTTCATCATGATCTTTGAATTTTATTGAATTCATCTGCAAGCCTCCCTGATGTTTTTACCCTACTGAAAGATGTGTCCAGTTTTAACCATATAACTCAGAGTAATTTCACAGCTGAGGTCAGTTCAAGTAATCATCTCAGAAGTTAACATTCATAAGGTTCTATATGTGAAAAGTGTCGAAGAATGTTGAAGCAAAAAGCATAACTCTCATTTGAAAGGGGAAAAAAAGTTTATCGTGGGAACCATTTTGAGTGAGCATAGCCTAAGAACACAGAACATTACTTTTCTAAATCACATGTTCCAACATGGAAGTAGTTTCATAAAGTATTATAGTTTTATAGAATAGGAAAAGTCAGGAACTGAGGCAAAGTTTATAACACATTATTTACACCAGAGAGGTGGTTAGAGCAAAAAGTATAAACTTTTCCATAGGCCTATGATGCTGTCTGATGACCTTCTTAGCTTGTGCAGCAAGCTAGTGGCCTGCAGAAGTAAATTGATTTCAAAATATGTTATTTCAAAGATGTTATTTCTGAGAGAGGTGGGCAATCAAGCCTAAGGTAATTAGTTTGTGTACCTGCAACATTCCAACCCCCCACATCACTGTAGTTTTAATTACCCAATTGATCTTTGCAGACACAAATAATTTCCAGGAATTCAGGGTCATAAATAAAGCACAAATGTAAAGATTAAAACTGTTCTTAAGTATAGAAAAGATAGAAGTAAGCAGTGGTGCCATAAAACCATGACAGCTACTAACTTTGTTTACATTTCATAGATGCTGGTTGCTATAGTAAGAGGATAAACTCATAGATTGGCAGTAGCACTGGTAACTCATTGGATACTAAAAATGTCTAGATTGTCACTACTGTGTGAGCTGAGTGCATCATAGAGAAACTTACATGCAGTGTTTTCACCTATGGAGTATTTCTGCCACACCACTGGATGCAATATGTTTACATTGTCTCTAGGTGATTTCAACACAAATACTATATACTATAGTGACTTCTAAAGGAAAAAAAAATCATTCATACATAATGATATGGATATACATACAGAAATACTGTATTTAAAGTTTATAATCAATCAGTTGCAGTGCATTTAAAAAGTGCTAGTGCCACAGCAATTTTAAACTCCTGAATATCTTCTATTTATGACCTCTTTCAGTATTTGTCTACAGGAAATTAGAACTTAGATTATTACATTCTAATCTAGTACTGTTTTGCTTCCTGATGATTCTCTAAAGTAGAACACGTATTCCTCAAGCCTTGTAATTAAATATGACATTTCATATCTCCCACAAAAGTGAATGTAGACTGAGAACATCCTTTTTCTGGTGTACCCTCATTGTTAGGTATTCAGGACAATTTTTTTCTTCATGGACATTTTTCTGGATGAGACATTGTTCATAAATTGTGATCATGGTGACAGAATCACTTATATAATTTTGGTTCTTGGTAACTCAACACTCCATTTTCTCCTAGTCTATCACCACATGTCCATGCTGCAGCATTGCTTGGATGTATTTTTACTATTCCATTCTACACAGATTGCTTTTCATTGAGAGGCATTTATGGGCCATTCCCATGTTTGTCTGTAGAGAGCTGCGACTAAGGCGCTGGTTTCCGCCTTTCACCCTCCTGACGGTGAGTGCTCTCTGTAATAAACAACTCCACATTTGGCTAAGGCTGAGATCTAGGCTTTCTTCCGCATATGTGAACCTATCTGAAGTCACCACGTGGCATGCCGGGGTTGGCTACTCCTAGGCTTTATAAGCAGTGGGTTGGCTTTCCCCGGGGTCAGAAGATTGTTCAAGGTTCCTGAATAAACTGCTTAAAGAAGAGTTTGTGTGTTGCGTCTCCCTTGCTGGTCGAGGCTGATGAGACATTTGTCACTAGAATTTGTAAGCACATTCTATATCAGCAGCTCCTTCTTCAAACAGTGTCTGTACTTCTGCCTTCAACGTTTAGCATATTTTATCACTTCTCAGAAAATAGATATGCAATAAATATCAAGGAGACTGTAGCACCCTGATTGTTGTTCCCATTCATGTATGACTCAAGAGAACAGAACACTCAATGTTATTTGAATAAGGTCAGCCCTTAATATAACAACTGTAAGAGATATAAACAACAGCCTACTGGTTACAATAAACAGACACAGTACTATGAAAATCTATAAAGTCAATTGCTATCATTTTGAAGATTCTTCTTTCCCCACAGTGTAAGATTACATTTGTATGATTAAATTTTGTAATTAACTTAAAGAATATATTTACATAAAACATATCTAGCCCAGTGATGTTTTTGTCGACAGCTTTGTCTCTTAGCAAGAAAAGGTTGATAATAACTTTGTATATTGACTTTAGACAAATCTAATGGCTATTGTGCATGAGATCATGAAAATATAAAATTAGCAACCGCTTTATGATTTCAGTTTCTGTAGCACTCTTAACAGAGCTGGGGAGATGGCTCAGTGGAGTGGATAAGAACACTTACTGAAGAAGTGTGAAAAATTGAGTTTGTATCAACAGCACCCACATAAAAAAGCCAGGGATGGCTGTGCTTGCTAGTAATTCAGCATTGGGGGGCAGAATACTCAGATGGACACACACAACTCACTGGACAGCCAGTCCAGACAAAATGGAAAGTAAGTTTCAAGTTCAAGGAGAGACCAAATTCTTGGCAATAAGGCATAGAAGATAGATGAAGATACCCAATGACCTACTCTAGGCTCTGTAAGCTTGTACATATGTTTCCATACATTTTCACTCAAGTGTGTGACCTGTACACACACACACACACACACACACACACACACACACACACACACACACACATTTCTACACATGAGTAAACAAAAAATGAGAATAACTGAATGAAATCAAGTTTTTGTAATGATATGTTGAAAGAGAAAAAAGAAAGGGAGATACCAATGCTTACTAATACTAGGTGAATGCAAATTCCTTAGGCTATGGAAATTGAAACACATTCAGCAAAGAAAAATTCTAACAATGGAGCTATATTAATTTTGACTCTTTGCAGTAGCAATAGAAGTTATAATTCTAATTGAATGTCTATTTCTTACCTAAAAATAGGGTTGAAATGACCCAATTTAAAGTTGAAAAAATGAACATTTTAAAATGACCAAGTGTTTTCTTAAGTTTAATATATTATAAACAACTTCAAGAAGATTACTATTTCAAGATAGTTCTTCATCTGTAATTTTGGAGTATTTCATCTTATTGTAAATTTATACACAATAATCAACATAAAATATCAATATTTCCTTTTAGCATCTTTTAGAATTATGTTAATAAATGTAATATTTGCAAAAACCAGTAAAAGTAAAATAAAATTGTATATTATAGAGTTTGAATATATTTATTTTTATTTGGAGATGTGCAGTGTTATTATACAAATTTAGCTTCTTTTGTTTTTATTTTTATTCATTTTTTTGAAAATTTCCTAAAATGGATTTTGTAATAGTCACTGTACTTTCCCCAACTTTCCCCAGAACCACCAAATAATACAAAAATACAGTATCAAAAAATAAAAGGAAATGTTTTAACAATAGGAAAACATGCTTAAGGATGCCCTTAATTTCCTAAAGAAATGTTTGCTCAAAGGTAGAAAATGTATAAGTGCGAGATTAAAAGATATACATAAAATATTAAAATAGAACTTTTAATATTCAAAAGAAATTTAAGATTTAGTTAGTATATTAATAAAAAACACTGGTTTTCAATGAATGTAGTAATAAGTAGTGGAAAATTATTAAAAATAAATTCAGTGACCAATCACATGTGAAACTGAAAACAATAAAAGATAAAAGAACTGTGTTGATAGTAACCAAATACTGGGTGCAGACCTGACAGTTAATGACAATTTTATCCTTAATGTACATAGAAAAAAAGAATAATTCAATAAGAACTGAAGGTGCATGAAAATTATACATTTTAGAATAGTGGAGACAGAAACTTGTAACAAAATACACACCCCAAAGGGAATTCTATTCTATTTCCATGTGTGAAACGAATTACAGATATTGCAAAAAAAAAAATGCAAGAGATCACAGAAGGAAGAGTAAAAAGCAAAAGTTAACAATGGATGCACAGGGCTGCTATTTTTATTAGCTATGTCAGGAACAATAGAAATGATGACAATTCTCTTATAATGTGTGATTTATGGTAAAGTTAATATAGCTGGTCTAAGGTCCTACATTATACTCTAGAAGACCTCAATGAGGTACTTATGAAATGGTCACTGTGCATATAAACATATAATCACTGAAAGGAGAGACATTTTAATTTTAAAGCTCTTCAAAAATAATGAATAAAACATATAATTAACCAATGGACCTGAAGAGGCAATGAAAGTCAAAGAAAAGGAGTTAAAACTGGAAACTGCACTGGCAAAAATTATGAGCTCATTTCAGTAAAATTCTGTTCTTTGAAGGAAAAGGAATATACGATTTCCAAAGAACTTCCAAAAACTTGCCTAATGCTCTAATGGCAGGCAATGCAGGTAAAGAGCATAGAAAAGAGAGCAAACACCTGACAGTTAGGTTCTTGTCAACCAGTTGTGCAGTAGTAAATACAATTAAATGTAGTCACAAGGCTTTGGAGTGACTTTCTTAGTTTTAAACTTTAATGCCCCCTCAGTTATATAAGACTGATCTTAACTCACTTTGACTTCCCCATTTAAAAAGAATGCATAGAAATCTACTGTGGGGAACAGATCAAA